TCATTTCTCACAATTCGAATTCTTTATAGAAAGCCTTGATTGATGACAAGCCAAAGAGCTTTGCACACTGCGTGGAATGGGCTCGCTTCCACTGGGAAGATCAATATGCCAATCAAATCAAACAGCTGCTCTTCAATTTCCCACCCGATCAGGTCACTTCAAGTGGCCAACCTTTCTGGTCTGGACCTAAGCGCTGTCCCGAACCTCTTGTTTTCGATGTGAACGAACCGATGCACTTGGATTACATTTATGCGGCGGCCAATTTGCGAGCCGAAGTCTATGGTATACCCCAAGTGCGTGATCGCCAGAAGATAGCAGAGCTGGTGCAGCAGGTTAAGGTATGGAATCGATGATCAAAGTTTCTAAAGAACATTACCACATATGTGTCTGTAACCCCTTGCAGGTGCCCGAATTTAAGCCGCGCTCTGGTGTTAAGATTGAGACAAATGAGGCGGCTGCCGCTGCAGCTGCCAACAATTTCGATGACGGCGAAGTGGATCAGGACCGCGTGGATAAGATCATATCGGAGTTGGTGAAGAACGCAGACAAGTCCTCGAAGATAACTCCGCTGGAGTTCGAGAAGGACGACGATAGCAATTTGCACATGGACTTCATTGTGGCTTGCTCCAATTTGCGCGCAACCAACTATAAGATCCCACCGGCCGATCGCCACAAGTCGAAGCTGATTGCTGGCAAGATTATTCCGGCCATAGCCACAACTACCTCTGTGCTATCCGGCCTGGCTGTGTTGGAGGTGATTAAGCTAATAGCCGGTCATCGTGATTTGCCCAAGTTTAAGAATGCATTCGCCAACTTGGCTTTGCCGTTCCTGGCCTTCTCCGAGCCGCTGCCGGCGGCCAAGAACAAGTACTACGAGAAGGAGTGGACACTGTGGGATCGCTTCGAGGTCACTGGGGAGATGTCGCTGCAGGAGTTCCTCAACTACTTTGAAGAAAATGAGAAACTGAAGATCACCATGCTGTCACAGGGCGTCTCAATGCTCTATTCATTCTTTATGCCCAAGGCCAAGTGCGCTGAGCGCCTGCCCCTGCCCATGTCCGAAGTTGTGCGTCGCGTGTCTAAGCGGCGCATCGAACCCTATGAGCGTTCCTTGGTATTCGAGATATGCTGCAACGATGTCGACGGCGAGGATGTGGAAGTGCCCTACGTACGTTATACGCTGCCCTAAGCCACGCTACGACCACAACCTACCCTAATCTTAATTGTAACAGTTAAATTATTATTTAAACAAAACAAGAGACACTTTTTTTTGAGTTGTGCGCCTTACAAATTTTTACGGTATGTAGCAGGTTTGCATTTTAAAAAAAGATAAACCAGAACCAGACACACACAGAGACAAGAAAAGGATAACACGCATCTCCTACGCGCGCGCACACACACTAACACAACCACATATACGAACACTAACACACAAACACACACGAACTAATCGATATAGAAATTATATATTATATATGTATGTGTAATCCTATAAGGAAATGGCAAATATTGAATTCGCGTTACACGAGAAATACAAAGACTCGACTTAAAAACAAAAACTTATGAAAAAGAGAAAGAGAAGAACGAAACAATAACAATTTAAAATAGTCTGCTCATAGGTTAAAAATCTCTTAAACATGCAGCACTGTTCGTTTTCTTTTTTTTTAACATTTATTATAAAGAGTAACATTAAAATAAAAATCAAATTGTATTAAAGGCGAAGCAACTGAATAAAGCTGTATATTTCGTATGGTAAACGAGTCCTGGCTAATATCCTTTCTCAGTAAACTCATTTCGTTTGAGTAGCTTTTGCATAAAACCACACGCTTCCCTAGAGCTTTCTCAATTATCTCTGCAGCGCCCAATCTTGACGTTATCTCTATGGCACCCCCCCACCTAACCCTTCGCCCCTATCGGGCTCCATTCCCTTCAGCTACACTTCCATTATGTTTGTTGCTGCACTCGCTCAGTCAGTTAGTAAAAAGTTACGTGACACAATTAAATATTTTATGCCCCAAGACGTTTATGCCGTGTCGGTGGCAGCGACTGCCACAAAAGTGCAATTGGCAAGTGCCAACCCCCGGCCAGCCTCGGCCCCACCTCGCCCTCTAACTTCTCATCACTTCCATCGCCCACTAAAGTTGTGTGCTATAATTAAATATTACACGCAATGCAACTGAAGTATTGCAAAGTTATGCAGCTTCTCTGCTTGGCTCTGCTCTGCTCAGCTGTACTCTGAAGTGCGGCCGGGCAAAGTTTTCCCTCAAATTATGCAGTTAATGAAACAAACTCCTGAGTGAAATACATCGCGTGGGCATCACGTCGACTGAGAGCTGGAAACTGGAAACTGGAACTGGATACGCAGCTGTATGTTTCACATGTACGTTAATTAAATAATTCAACAAAACTTAACTTTTTCTAGCTTACCGTTTTTCTCTCTTTCTGCAGTTAACCTGGCTGAATGGCAACTTATGGGAAATAATCGGGCTGACCAAGGCAATCCCTCCCGTTTGATGAAAAGGCGACCTGGACTACAGCTAATGATAATGCTATTTCAATATACATATTATATTTAATAACACAAACTGAAGACTAAATAGTCGTAGGCATTAGTTGAAGAATTGAGATTGCCCAGCAATATATATAATATCTGAGGGAATCAACTTAATGAAAACTTAACTGACGGTTTTTGTTCTATAAATACCGTTCAGTTGTCAATATTTTATTGACAATTTTTTCAATTACATATATTTTGAAAAAGAACTGACCAGGCACAAACTGCCGTTAAAAGCAGTTACAAAAGATTTGTTTGAAAAAAAAAAAAAATGTGTGGGATTTAGCCGAAATAGTGGAAGCTGGAATACGAATCCACAACTAATGAATGAAGGCCAAGAGGAACCATTTTAGTACATTTTGTCAATTTACTCATATATTGGCTATATTTACACCAGACCTTAAAGAACACCTTAGTTAAATTGAAATATGTATAATTTGGAGACTCAAGCTCTAAAGATGTAAAGCATATAATTTTATAACATATTTCTTATATGATATCAATCTTAATCTTTAATAGTTTTTGAGATCGACGCATTCACACACTTGGCTGCTCGTCGCCCTGCTTAAAAATGTAAATCTATACATTATGGTGGCACGCCTACTTCTGCCTGTCACATAGATTTGAACACAGTCATTATAGCTTGGTTTCCCATTTTAATTGTTATTTTTGATCTCTAATGAGACCATTAGTATTAAAATTTTATTATTACATATATATAGATTTTCTGCATGCTGTGAATTATAATCATCATTTGAAACATCACTATAAATGTGGTCCCGCACTGTAAAATTAATGCATTCGAACGAGATTCGTATTTCCAAAAATGGTATTTGAATAAATGCTTAGAGCTCAGTATAAAAAAATACTTCTCTTTGATAGCTATAGTTTTTACTGTGTTTAAAATGAAAAATTGAAGTAAAAATGATATAAATATATGTATATAAAAATAAAAATATAATAAATATTTATTTATAATCTTTTAAAGTACTTTCCTATCCATGTTGTCTTCTATTGTACTACAGTTTTGGGCATATACAATACAAGTAATAATAATTTAAGGCAGATCTCTCTATTTAAAATGCATATTTAGTCCCGTAACTCTGTGTGAAAAACTCTCTCCCGTATTGCAACGAATACATGTTAACGTAGATCCTTGTGCTTTGGGCCAGCTCATGCGAGTGATTTTGCTTCACGTTATTTTGTATTCGGCGTAATATTACTAACAGCATTTCCCCAGAGATAATCAGAGTTATATATGTAGGTTGCTGTCAGTTGTGCGTCAACTCTGCTGGCCAAATATCGAATGAGTCATGGGATGGTAACAATACGACGAGGGGAATCACTCACCAAACCAGGGTAGTTATAAATTTCAAGTTTTTTCGGACAACATGGCCAACTTATTCAGTAAGTGATAAACGATTAAAGAATATAATGCGATAAGCTAAAGAAATACTTGATACCAATATATGAAGTATTATATATATTTCAATGGTATTAAATATATAGAGCTGTATAGTTTCAGTGAGTCTGAAACTTGCTATCAATATGGAATGTCATATAAATATATACATATATCTAGAGCTGTTTGTACAGTCGGGCAACGCATTAGCTAAAGAATTTTAATGAGTCTTAAATATGCCTGATTAGCTGATTAATTACGCCGTAAATCAGTTTTAAATAGTATATTTAAAAGAGCATTTAAAATTCTTTATTACCCACTGATGCGACCATATACAATACAAATCTTTTGTGTGTACCGTTTCTTTGTTGTGCTACCCTAACAGAGGGTATCACGAGTATGTTGTGAAAATCAGAGAACTATTTATATAATATGGAAGGAACTACGATTATCAATATAGTCGAAAGTCAAATGAATCCAAAGAGCTTGCCTATGCATCTTTTATAGATTTTTCATTGCTCCAACATAAATTACATGAATCGGACATCTTAGGTCATCTCTTGATTAAAGATGTTTAACTATTTAACATTCTGTTAGTCTACGTACATCTGTACAAAATAAATAGATAATATATAAAAAATACATGTCTTTGAGTTTATCTAGACTGCAGAAGCCAAACGTCTTTGTTAACAATTCGTTGCAATATCTAGTTAGTGTATTCAATGCTTTGTTTTTTAATAATTCTTTTCTCTTTTGTTTTTATTTTTCATGACAATTGTTGTACGATGACGTCGTAAACCGGTTGGCTAAAATCCAAAAAACGTGAAAATTTTAAATTATACGCGTACAAATTTGTGTGTTTTTTCTCGCAATTTGAATGTGAAATCTCTCATGCAGTCTGATATTTTCACTTTGTTTTGCTGGTTAATTAATTAAATTCAATAAATTTTCACTGCCTGGTGACACTTTTGTTGATAATGAGGCGAAAACGCCAACATCGAATCTGATTAATGGAACGTTCTCCATTTAAATCGTCAAGGTAGACGCGCCGGCCACATGATGGACCCGGACCTGGGTGCATTGCACGGCTGCGTGGTCCAAGGGGAACATCACCAGCATATCGCAGCAGTTATGACAACAAATTTGTTTATTTATAATCTTTTCATATTATTAATTGCTCAGATAGATGACAATTTGGAGGCCACACGAAGGCCGCGGTTCACAATTGGAATGGCATTTCCTGTTGCCACAAAATCAAACTTTTACTTGCTGCCTGGATCATTGATTGGATTACTCAGTCCGATATCTGCAGCCGAATTCACGGGTTCCGAAAGTGTGAGTGCGAGTATGTCTAATAAGTGGTTTTTATCACAGGTGTATAGTCATCATTACATTATTTTCTTTAATTAAACTACGAAATATTTTAATATCCCATATAGTTGACAATGTTAACTTCAAAAACTGAAAACAACCAAGTCCAGTGAGTGCAAAAGGAATGGAGATGATCGATACGAGAATATACGAAAGGCCTCTTGATGTTCGACTTGTAGCTAGAAAGGATAGTCGATGGAAAATATAAATTAACTCACTTGCAAAATCTTGTACGAAGCCGGCACTTAGCTTCACTTCTCAGAAAATAATTATTACCTCCATTTGTAGTATATTTTATGTTATATTTAATAACATTTGTTTGGCTTTTTTTTCTCTTTTTTTCAAAATAAAGAAATTATTTGCATTTGTTTAGCAATTTAGTTGGAGGGTATCTATGGAGCCAAAAACCAAATCCTACAAATAGTACTTTTCTATATTCATATCCATATACATTTCTGATTTGGTACCAATTTATATATAAATATGTATTATTCCAAATATATAATCTCATTTAAATTTATTACTGAAAACGTCTTGATATTTGGACTAATTTAAGCAGGATTTCTTTGGCTTCGACCTAAATATTACCAGTCCATGCAGCTTTTAAGAGTCGATCGGATAGCAACAGATATGGCGAAAGGCAATATTTGTGAAGTGAAATTAAAATAGTTTTCCGTTTCCTGTCACGCTTTGGTTACTGTGTCGTCTGTGGAAATGGAACGTGATCGACTTTGCACACCTCTAGAAATATAAATAGAGACACATTTATGTAGCTGTAAGTGTGTATATGCAAAGCAGGACAAGTAAATCACATGTCCATTTATGAAAGCGCGCGCATGTAAAATTATTTAAATTGAGTCATCACAAAGAAAAACGAATGTGAATAATAATAAAATTGCACAATAGGAAACGGTGGCAGGAACAGCAGCTCATTAGACATCCATATCGGCCAGACAACGTCGTTGGCGCCCGCGTCTATATATGTGTGTAGTATATACATATGTCGCTCAACTCGGCACATGCTCCGGACCATAATTGATTTATGTCACGAACTAGCTTCAAGATATAACGTATTTATCAGCTGCAATTAATGTGGGAGCGCAATATAAAAAACATCATGTATGAATATGCATATATCAAAGAAAAACAAAGAACAGATAATGCCTGACTCAGTGGGCATTGACATCGGCGATACTAACCTTAGTCCTCCCTCCGAATGCACTGCTCATTTTATGCGCACTATCTTCACAGCATAAGAAGCTTCGTGCATACGCAGCGGATGTGCCGATAAGTCAAGGCATCCGATCTTGACCATGACAACCGGGCGTACACGCAATCAATATAATTGATCGGAAGTTACGCCATAGATATTGAGTAATACCCTGTTATCATATTGATAAGGTGTCGAAACATACTTTTTGGAATTTCTTGCAGTCATATTTTTCTTGTTTTTCTTTTTGTGGGTTACTACGATGACCAAGCACAGTAGGGCATGCACAGTGGGGCAATGATGGTGGAGTAGTGAAATTTCAATTGACGATTGATCCCACAAGACCTTAAGGCTGACTCGTCTCATTGGAGCAATGATACAAATTCATGTATTCTGTGTGGAGACCGAGCTCTATGTCTACGATTATAGGTTAAGCATCGAGCATTGGGCAATATTAAATGACAATAAATTAAATTTAAATGAATGTGGATCACAATTATCGACAATGTGTCAGCTACACAGATCAACTGAAGGCGTACGTAAATTCTTTGGAAAAACTAATTTTATTGTAAGTTATATCTACTCTACATGTAGACCGAATTAGTCATATAGATAAATGCACACATATGTATATGTATTAACACAAATTAATATAAAGTGGACTAAATTAAATTAGGAAAAATTTCCGTATGTTAAATTGTTAAATAAATATATTTTTAATATATTTACACAAAATGTATTTTATTTATTTAATTATAGTAAATATACTTTTTTTTTTAAAGTACTTACTAATTAGTAACAAATACGAATTTTCTCTTCATCTTTCTTACGCTACAAGTTCTCTTTAGTAGTGTCCACGATAAGTGCACTTCAGCACTGCAACACTGTTTTTCTGCAGAAGTAGCATTGGTACTAGAAAAAAGTCCTACAAAGCAACAAAAACCGACACGATAGACAAGCAAGTAGCAATACTCGGTCGATCCTCAGTCGTGCATGCACAGCATTTACGAGTGAACGGTCAGCTGTGCTCTCTGGTGTATTGCAGCGATCGTTGTAATCGTTTGCTCTTTGATTTCTTTGCCGCTCTCTTTCTCTCTCTCTCTCATGCTCACTGCGGAACTGAACAGAAAAGTCGACAACAGAGTTCGTTTCGTGCTCGCTGCTCTGACATTCTTAGTGTCGGGCTGGCAGCGAAACCCAGCGCAAGGCGGTTAGGCGGACTAACGAGATTTTTAGCGTTGTTTTATACGAAAAAAGAAGGATTATTTAAATATATTTGTATGTGCTTTTATTGTATATGTATGTATGTGTGCTGTAAAAATGAAATAAAGAAGACGCCTTCTACGTAAGCCAGGCGAGTCGCGTGTGTTGTTTTTTGTTGTTGTAAGAAGGCGCGTACGCAAAAGCAAATAACAACAAAGCAGAGCGTTGAACGTACCGCTGTGTGCGTGTGTGAGTGCGTGCGTGGGATTACTGCAACAAATGCTGCAACATCAGCAGCTGCAGTAGAAGCAACTCCTTTGTATACGTATCGCGTGCTAATTAATTGTGTCGTTGCATTTAAAAAGGCAAACAAAAGCAATAGCCAAATAACATCAGCTAAGCTGCGTTTAATCGTGTGTCGGTGTCGGTGTCCGTGTCGTGTGTGTTCGAAATTTCGAAATTTAAATTAAATTTATTACGAAAACGTCTGTTGTGACATCATAAGTAAAGCAAACGCGAGAAAGAGTCAAAGCCGCGGAGACCAAAGTAGTTGCCACAACAAAAACACAAAAAAAAAAAAAAAAACAAAGCAAAACAAAAAATCGAAAAAAAAAAGAACGGTACAAGAGCTACACACCCGCCGGTGACGCTGCTTCAGCTGCTGCTGCCGGCTGTTCGGCAGTGCGCATGTGTGTATTTAGTGCGACCACAGCGACTACAAGAGCAACAACAACAGCAACTACACATAGCTGCATTTAAAGTAAAAGTGAAAAGCTCAAGCAGCAACGGTACAAATCTAATTTGTTATTGCAAGCACAAAAAGTTCTCGCAGCTTGCAGACTCTGCGGCAGCGTCAAAAAAAGTGCATTAGAAGCAAAAAAAAAAGGGCAAGTGTTTTGCGAGTGTTGCCGACTTCAATTTATAAGCACAAGTGTTGCCGACTTTCAGTTACAAATACTTACATATTAGCATATGTAAGGAAAGTTGTGGCTTACAACCTGCCAGTGTTTCCCTGTTTGCATTTAGAGGAGCACAAAAATGTGTTACACATGTGGATGCCTGTCCTCTGTTGTTTTTGTTGTCTGTTTGCTGTTGGCAGCTGCAGTAGCCAATATTCATCAGCTGCAGACGCATTACAGTCACAACCATCAGCATAACAGGAACACCAACAACAACAAGAATAATAAATATGATGAGCAAGGGGAGCTGCAGCAGCTGCGAAGCAACGAAAAAAGTAGTGTCTCTGAGGATACAATAGTAAGTAGTACAGTAGTAAGTAAACATGTAGTATTTACTTAAAATGAAAGATCAGCAATAGACATCCACTTCATAAATTTACAAATAAAGAAAAACATCCATACAATTTGTTGTTGTGCTTTCTTAAGTGCATGCAAAACTATGTTAATGACTTTTACAGTGGTCTCTATACGCATTTATGTGCATTTACAGGGATCTGTCTGTAAATCGCGTATCAGTAAGGCCAGCATAAAGTTATAGCGAAATGTCTTTCAAGATTGTTCTTATCGGCCTTAATGTATTAAGTACTTACAAAGTCATTGACTTCCAGTAAGCTGCTTAATAAGATGCATTTTGTTTCTTTGCAGTCCCATGTTCTTCTTTGTGCCCATGATCCCTATGTTATTTATTATGTTATTCAGCAATGATTCATTCATGGCAATATTCGTTGTTCAACCCCTAATACGTTACCTGCTTGCTGCCAATCTAATTCTCCGAATTCATTAGGAAACTACCAAACACAACCGCAACAAAACAAAGACAAAAGACAACAAACAGTTGCAGCGCCAACAACACTAATAACCACAACAATTGAAAGGTCTGCGAAAGACATTTTCTTCGCCGTAGTTTTGCCAATTAGAATTCGGAAAAGTTGCCTTGCTAGCAAATTGCAACAGTTTTCGCGACAGTGTCAACAACTTTATAAACAACTCAGCAGCAGTACCAAAAGCAACAACTCAACGCATTCTATATGCGTGTGGGTGTGCGTTCTAGATAACAGAACTTTATTTTACTTCACTTTCTATGTACATTTCCGAGCATTTCCGTTTTGGGCATGCGGCCGCAATCGCCTTTGCCCCCAGTTTTTCATTCTCTCAGCTCCAAGAGCAGCAGCAGTAGCTGCAGTAGCAGTAGCAGTAGCAGCAGCAGCAGCAGAGACAGCTGCTCCCTCACCTCCTCCCATTTCATCTGCTCCGTCGCCAGCAACTTCAACTACTCCCCTATCATTTTGTCTTGGTCTTCGACTTCGACTTCGACTTCCACTCGCGTCGCGTCATAAGCGCGATATGCGTGGAGTGTATGTGAATAGAGTTACTCCGAGTGTTTGCTTGAGTGTGAGTGAGGGAGTGTGTGTGCATGTATGTGTGTGTGTGTGTATGGGTATGTTATGTGTTCAACAACCGACCGATGCCTTGCCGGCGAAGCAGCAACAGCCCAGACGGCGTTGTCGCCACGGTGTCCGTGCGTCCGTCTGTCCGTCATGTGGCACATACATATCTCTGCTATATAAATGCATACACACAAGCACACACATGCATATCAGCACCCGAGGGCGGTTCAATTAATAATCATAGCTCTGCAGAACTGTGTTACGCAAATTCATTGACATCAATAAATCAAATTTTGAATAAAATTTTGTGTTTTAATAAAACGAGATTTAAAATCTAACTTTTTATCATGCATGATTTACATAAAATTGTTTCATTGGCTTAAATTTATTTAATTGAATTAATAATAAAAATTGTAAATGCAACTTTTTGATTAATAGGATAATATGGAATATAGAGTATTGCATCTAATAAAAATATTTTTAATATATTTTTAAATTTAATAAAAATTTTGCTCATATAAGTTATTTAGAAGTAGGCTTTTTTTTTTTTTTTTTTTTTTTTTTTTAATAATATATATTATAATATATAGTTTTGTTCCAAAATATTGTTTTAAAATATTAGAAAATTTGTATATTAAAATTAGTTTATTATATTAAAAATTAGGTAACAGTGCTTATGAATATTATGTGAATGTGTTATTCAGTTACTTTTTATTATTTAATATATTATTTAAGTAAAAAAATAAAACGGTCATCATAAATATTATTTTAGTAATATTGAAAATACTTAATTTTCAAATAATTTGAATTGCTTGGTTCCATAGGTCAATCGACTTACTAGAAAATATCTTATTCCAGGAAATCTAT